GTGCAATGGCATGATCTCAGCTCACTGCAACCTCTGCCTCCTGGTTTCAAGTATTCTCCTGCCTCAGCCTCCTGAGTAGCTGGGATTATAGGAATGTGCCACCACACCCGGCTAATTTTTGTATTTTCAGTAGAGACGGGGTTTCTCCATGTTGGTCAGGCTGGTCTCGAACTCCTGACCTCAGGTAATCCGCCCACTTTGGTCTGCCAAAGTGCTGGGATGACAGGCGTTAGCCACTGTGAATGGCCCTGCCTGGAACTTTTTAGCAGGAGGAGCAGGTTCAAAGAACTGCACTTGTCTCTTCTTTCAGCTTTGGCCACTCTCAGAAAAATCATCTGCTCAGTGAGAAAAGAATACTCAGCCGTTTGCAAAAGTGATTTCTTCTACTTCTATACTTTCCTTGTCGATGCCGTGATTGAGGGAATAGATGCAAAACAGAAGGATGTTTTTAGACCAGCTCTTCTTAATTAGTTCAGGTCTCTTCACTTCCTGCTTGGATTAGCACAATGCCCTCAACAAGTTTCCTGGTATCTTGTTTCTAAAAACAAATAGCTCATCACTCTCATGTTTAGAGTGTTTCAGTGGTTTCCAACCTGGGCAATACAGCAACACCTCGCCTCTACTAAAAATTTTTAAATTGGCTCATGCCTGTAATCCCAGCACTTTGGGAGGCCAAGGCAGGCAGTCCCTTGAGGCCAGAAGTTTCCGACCAGTCTGGCCAACATAGCAAAACCCATCTCTGCTAAAAATGCAAAAATTAGCCAAGCATGGTGGAGGGCGCCTATAATCCCAGCTACTCGGGAGGCTGAGACAAAAGAATCACTTGAACCCGAGAGGTGAAGGTAGCTGTGGGCCGAGACTCCATCTCAAAAAAAATATTTTTTAATCGAGCTCAGGAGTTCAAGACCAGCCTGGGCAACACAGTGAGACTCTATCTCATTTTATTTAAAAAAAATTTTTTTTTTGAGATGGATTCTTGCTCTGTCACCCAGGCTGGACTACAATTGTGCGATCTCGGCTCACTACCACCTCCATCTCCGGAGTTCAAGCAATTCTCCTTCTCAGCCTCCTGAGTATCTGGGCTTACAGGCGTCCGCCACCACACCTGGGTAATTTTTGTATTTTTTTTTTTTTTTAAGATGGGGTTTCACCATGATGGCCAGGCTGGTCTTGAATTCCTGACCTCACGTGATCCACCCACCTCAGCCTCCCAAAGTGCTAGGATTACAGGTGTGAGCCATCGTGCCCGGCATAATTTTTGTATTTTTAGTAGAGACGGGGTTTCACAAAATTGGCCAGGCTGGTCTTGAACTCCTGGCCTTGTGATCCACCCACCTCGGCATCCCAAAGTGCTGGGATTATAGGTGTGAACCACCATGCCCAGACTATTTTTTTTAAAAAAGAAAAGAAATCTTTTTTAAAAAATTAGCTGGGCATCATGGCACTCGCCTGTAATCCCAGCTACTTGGGAGACTGAGGTGGTCGGATTGCTTGAGCCCTGGAGACTGAGGCTGCAATTGAGTTATGACCACACCAGCCTGGGCGACAGAGAGAGACCTTGTCTTTAAAAAAAAAAAAGGGGGGGGGGTGTTTTTCTCTTCTGGATAAAATCCAAACTCTTCATAATTTGTTCCTGGGGTTACTTCTCCAGCCAAATCATTTCCTCTCAACACTCAGCTGTCCAGTCCTCCCCATCTTCCTTCTGTGCCTTCTCCCCTCTCAGTCTTTTCCTGGCTCAACTCGACTCATCCTTCAAGACTTATTTCAACTGTTTCCCCTAAGAAGTTTCTCTAGAGCCCCTCTTGGTAGATTAGGATTCCTTAGCATACTTTACAGACCTCTTAAATTGCTCTCTAAACCTCAGTATCTCAAGCTAGAAAACTGGGATAATACATCAGAAAGTGTGGCAAAGCTACTTAACACCATGTCTGACATATATTGTCACATATTAGGTGTTAAATCATAGTAATTACTTTAGCTAGTCTCTTCCTCATGTTTGAGAAAATAGATCCGGAAAGGTCGAATGACTGGCTTAAGTAGGATAAAGATAAAGGAGGGGACTTTCTGATTTGTGCATGATTTACAAACCTAATTTCAAAGTAAGAAAATTAGGGGAAGTTGACTTTAATATTGAAATGAAATAAAACTTAAGGTTGAGAGTGGATGCTACACTACTGAGAAAAATGGCAAGTCAACAACTTTTGAGAAACTCAGGATATTTGATGCTTAGAGTTGAAATGTTTTCTTACGTTTCTCAACCTGCTGATTTCTTTTAGGTCTGTTTATTGCTATATTCAATGAAATAGTGTCTGCGCATTCATGAAATAAAATGGTTTGCAACTTCTTAGCCTTTTTTTCTATTGAATTAAGTACAACATTAAACCATTAAAATGACCTTAAGAAAATCAATATTGTCCCCGGGCTCAAGACCACTTACTCCACAGCTTAACTGGTCCTTAGCTTTCAGCTTTTGACTCTAGGCTTGTACTCTCCAACACAGTAGCCACCAGTTGCAAATGGCTGATGGGCACTTGAAATCTGCTAGTTAAAACGGAAATGTGCTATAAGGGCAAATAAGTGTGGATTTTGAAGATTTGATTAAAAAAAGGAATGCAAACTATCTCAATTATTTTTTATATTCACTACATGTAAAATGAAAATGATTCTGACATACTGAGATAAAGTATGTGTACTTTATATTAATTTCACTTGTTAGTTTTTACTTTTTTTTTCTGAGACAGAGTCTCACTCTGTCACACAAGCTGGAGTGCAGTGTGATCTCAGTGATCTCAGATCACCGCAACCTCTGCCTCCCGGGTTCCAGCGATTCTCTTGCTTCAGCCTCCCGAGTAGCTGGAATCACAGGTGTGTACTACCATGCCCAGCTATTTTTAGTAGAGATGGGGTTTCACCATGTTGGCCAAGCTGGTCTCGAACTCCTGACCTTGTGATCCACTTGCCTCAGCCTCCCAAAGTGCTGGGATTACAGGCGTGAGCCACTGTGCCAGGCCTTAATTTTTACTTCTTTAACATGGCTATGGAAAAAATTCAAGTTACTTATTTAGCTCTCATTGCATCTTTTTTTTAAATTTTATTTTTCATTTAAATAGGTTTTAGCTCTCATTGCATTTCTATTGGACAGTGCTGCTCTAGACCTTGCAGATTTTTCAGAATCATATGTGTAGCATCAGGTGCCCTTTCCTGGACTTGTCTGTCTCAGGTGATGTAACTCTGTCACCTTCCTGGAGACCAAGTGGTAGTTTGTACGCCAGTGCCTCCACCATCTCATTCAGGATGGAACCCCTACAAGGTCGAAGGGGGTTACAGAACAGTTTTGAATGCAGAACACTGAGTGAATCCACATTTCAAAGAATAGAAGACAATCGGTGATTATTGACCCAGATTATTGGCCCAAAGTTACCTCTAAAATTAACCTTAACATTCCCAATTGGGTCCTATTTTACTTGGATTATCTCTTTTAATCATTGCAGCAACTCCGACATTTAGGTGCTATTATTACATACACATTTTACAAAGGGGTAAATTGAAGTTAGGGAGCTAGCAAGCATGAAGTTCTGTTTCCTTGCTTGCTTTTTGAGACAGGGTCTCACTCTGTCACCCAGGCTGAGTGCAGTGGTACAATTTCAACTCACTGCAATCTCTACCTCCCAGGCTCAATCCATCTCTCCACTTCTACCTCCCGAGTATCTGGGATTACAGGTGCGTGTTTCCACACCCAGCTAATTTTTATATTTTTGTTGTTGGGGGTGAGGGTTTCGTTGTGCTGCCTAGGTTGGTCTCAAACTCTTGGGCTCAAGCAATCTGACTGCCTCAGACTCTCAAAGTACTGGGATTACAGGCATGAGCCACCGTGCCAAGCCAAGCATGGAGTTTTGACCCCAGTTGGTCTAACTTTCCAAGAGCCATTGTAAGCAAGATTATGAGCTGCTTGTACATGCTCTATTTTGTCAACACATGACCTGACACACACTAGATGGTTAATAAATGTGTGTAGTTAACTGGTTATATAGTATGATCTCAACCATGTAGGAAAAATATATATAGGGAAAAGTCTGGAAGGAAATACATCAAAATGTTAAAAAGTGATTAATTATGAATGGTGATGTTATGGACTTCTTTGGGTAATGTACATTTAAAATTTTCATCTTTATGCTTTTATGTATCTGCAAACTTTTGACAATGTGTGTGTAATGTATTTATTTATTTATTTTGAGACAGAGTCTCCCTCTGTTGCCCAGGCTGGAGCGCAGTGGCACGATCTCAGCTCACTGCAACTTCCACCTCCCAGATTCAAGTGATTCTGCTGCCTCAGCCTCCCGAGTAGCTGGGATTACAGGTACCTGCCACCAAGCCTGGCTAATTTTTGTATTTTTAGTAAAGACAGGGTTTCACCATACTGGCCAGGCTGGTCTTGAACTCCTGAACTCAGGTGATCCACCTGCCTTGGTTTTCCAAAGTTCTGGGATTACAGGCATGAGCCACCATGCCCGACCAACAATATGTGTGTAACATTTTAATTTATTTTCATTTCTTCCTAAAAATCCCATATAACTTCTGCCCCAACACATGCATAGCCTCCCTCATGATCAACATCTCCCACCAATGTGGTACATTTACCACAACTGATGAACCTACACTGACACATCATCATCACCCAAAGTCCATAAATTACTCTTTAAATCACACAAAGTGTCATTTTTACAGAATATAAGTGGTTACTGATATGTTCTTTATGGGCTGAAAATACTTATTCCTACTCTTTCCCTCCTCCCATGATTCCATTCCCCTCACAACTGGGATCTCCCTCTATTCTACTCTGCTTCTCCGTTCTCTTAGTCCTGTCTCTCTCTCCTGCTCCCTTCTGCGATGCTCCATCAGTTTTTCTTCTGGGTCTTCCACCTTTCTTTGCTTCTGTCTCCCCTTTCTTTTTGAAAAGATTGACATTCAAACAGAAAAGTCAATTAAAGGTTACTTCCTACCTGGTAGGTTTTGAGTAGATTCTACCTGCCACTGGAGTCCTGAAGATGCTGCTCAAGTCAGGGGGTCCAGGCAATGGGAGGGCAACAATTTGAAAAATGGAGACCCGTTTAGATGTGAGGTCGAGGAAGGCGTTTCAGCCTGAGGAAAGTAGTGGAACAAAGATCCAAGGAGTCTCTCAGAGAAAGGGAAATGAGTAGAGGAGCCCGTACCTCACTGGATCTGGGGATTGTTGTCTCCTGGTGCTGGCACTCAGTTATAAATTTGATTTGAGCTCCTGGATTGAATGACTCCTGGTTGCATAATTGACTTAACTATGTGGACTTTGGGTGTGAATTAGGTTTAACAAGATTTAACTGCTTCAAAGGGCTTTATAAGAATTCATTTTTTCCTTCAAGTCTGATTTCAAATCCTACCTACTTTGTGACACCTTCTCTGACTTTGATGCTCTTCTTCTAGTGCTCTTATTGCGGCATAGTAGGTACATACCTAATTCAAGCAATTACCCCGTTGTATTTTACCTTATTCTGTAGGAAATGTTTCCTTTAGTACCTCTCTTTAGGAATCTTGAGGGACAGGCAGGTATCATTCCTATTTGTATCCTAGGCCTAGAGGAAGAACACACTCAATTGAGCTAGCAGGTTCTCAATAATTTTTTTAAATTATATTAATAATTAACATTAAGTAAGCACTGTGGCAAGCACTGTATCTACATTGTTTCATTCACCAGGCACTTTAGGAGAAAAGTACTTTTATTACCCCCATTTTACAATAACTGAGAGTAAGAGAAATTAATTTGATCTAAGGCTATCTAGTGAGGGGCAGAACTTTTTCTCCAGGCTTTGGGCTTCAGATCTGGGCTCTTCACCACCACAGAGGAACAAATGGATGAATGAGAACTTCTTTTCAATTTATGACTGAAGAAGTGATATAGAAGAGTTTACCATTCATTTAACAGATACAATTACGTATCTGTAATACTTAATACAAGACCTAACTCACCGATGTTTCTAACTTCTGAGTCATATTTTTCTTCTTCTTTGTTTCTTGTAATCCTACAACCCTCAGAGAAACTGTCTTGAACTCTTATATTGAAATGTAACCCAGCCAAGCACTGAGTGTTTTATGGGAAAGAGAAGGAACCTTTTGCTTGGTTCTTACTTCTTATCACCCAGTCATTTGTAAATATACAAATATCAAGCACCTACTGTGTGCTAGGACCTTTTTTTAGGCACTAGATAGACACAAGTAAACAAAAAAAAGTAGTGAGACCTTTACATACACTAGTTCTGCTCCTCACAATAACTATATGAGGTAATGATGACAACAGTAATAGTAACCCTTAACAATGCTTATCTGTGCAGGGCACTGGGCAACCTGCTTAATTTGTATTAACTTATTACAATAAACCTGTGGGGTAAGGGGTATGTTTTCTTCATTTACAGATGAGGACACAGACACAGAGTAGGAAGTGACTTGCTCAAGCGTGGAACCCAGGCAGTGTGGCTCTAATTCCCAGCCTATTAACTACAGGGCAATATTTTGTCTCTTAAGTTTCTATCTTCATATCACAACTTTAAGGTGGCTGAGTCTTGTCCCCATCCAGATCGTCTGACTCCCAAGTCCAGAGGTTTGCGCTGCACCCCAGCAGCCTCGCGAAATAAATGAGAATGTCTTGGAATTTTTGCCAACACTTTCTCTTCCAAAGAACTCAAAATGATTTCTACGTAATTCTCATTGATTTGTGAAATGAACCTTCCTGGACTGTAAATTTCCTCGCAAATACACGGCCAGGGCCCCGGGTCATTTTACACTGGCCGAGGCACCCAGCAGATGGCGCTGTGTTAGTAGCCACCGGCTGGCTGCCCCGTCCCCCGGGCTCACCGCCTCGGCCGAAAGCTTCCCGGCGCTCCCTCGCTCACTTCTCTCTCCCCCTCCCCACGGAGTCCGGGCCCACGTGACCTCAAGGCGGCCAATGGGCGAGCAGAGAGGGCGAGCTGGTCCCTGTGGCCGCCATTAAAGCGAAGGGAAAACCCGTGAATTCGGATTAAAGGGGGAAAATCACCGCCCGCTGGGCCCACAAAATGGGGGAGACTACGGCGTCCAGGCGGTGAGGCCGCAGGAGGGCAGACATTAGACCGGCTCGGCTCAGGGACGACACGAAGACAGCCAGAGAATGGTGTGAGCCCGCAGACGCCGCCACCACCTCCGCCGCTGAGGAGACTCTGGGCTTAAGGACATCGCCGCTGCCGGGCCGGGGGCCTGGGCTCTCCCGGTTCTCGCCCTTTCCGCCTCTGTGCGGGCGCCTCCCCGCCCGGGAGAACCCTCTAGGGCTTGGGCTCTGCCGTCTCGGACTCTATTTTGATTATTTATTGTGTAATTTATTATTTTCTTGCGGTAGGGGCACACATCCCATCCGTCCCCCAAAGAGGGACAAGCGTCCGCGGGCTCCGCAGTCCGGCCCGCCAGGCGAGCGCGGCGCGGCCCTCCCGCCTCCGGCCCTCGGCCCCGGGCGGCTGGGTGCCGGCCGGGCGGCGGGGGCTGCTCCCGGCTGCGGCGGCGGCGGCGGCGGGGGGTGGGTGGGGAGGGCGGGCGGCCCGGCGGCCTCCTCTTCCATCGCCCCCCCAACCACTACCCCCCCTTCGCCCTCCCCGGTGTCTGTGTTTCTCTCTCTGGTCGGAGGCGGCGGTAATGGCGGATGGTGGGTTGTGGCGCCGGCGGCGGCTGCTGTGAGGGACGATGAGTGCCTCCTTCGTGCCGAACGGGGCCAGCCTGGAAGATTGTCACTGTAACCTCTTCTGCCTGGTGAGTGCCGGGGCCGGCGGGCGCCGAGGGAGGGGGCCGCGAGGTGCGCCTTTGGGCCGTGGGGGAGGGGGCCGGGTCTGGTCCAGATGCCCGAGTCCCCGGGCGAGGCCCAGCCGGAGCCGGCGCCCTGCGAAGCTCCATGGGCAACCCTAGGAGACGGTGTTCGCTCTCCCACGGTGCCGGGCTCTGTTTGGGGACTGTTGGCATTTTTTCTTGTCTTGTTTCGGACTCTCTTCCTCACCGTAGTCTCGTCCTCAACTTGGGCTCCTGATCTGGCAGAACACTAACCTTTCTCTCTGTCTTGCTTAACTGTTGCTTTTTTCTTTATTGGCCCGGTACTGTATCCTTGCTTCACGCTTTCCATTATTGCCCCTGCTCCCCACTGCCTTTATGTCTCACCCTGGTAATTTGGTTTCCCCATGTAAACAGGACCCCAGAACTTATGCCCTAGAAACCTGTCTTCGTTTTACTTTTTTTTTTTTTTTTTTGGTATAAGTCAAGCTAAGGCAAGATTAGTTTCTTTTTTGGGTGACTTCAGATCTCTGTAAAAACCAGTAGGTGCCATTTCATATGTTTCTTTTTAAACTTTCAAAACAGTTTGCCGTTTTTGACAATTTCTAGCCATCTTGCCTTTATTAGAACATAATGTTTTTGTGAGAGTGGAGGAGGCTGATGGATGAGGTGCTGTGATTTTGCACTGTTTCTATATTTATTGTGTTTTGCTTGCTTTTTTAGAATGTTTTGAGCAGGCTGCTCCTTGTTTGATTGAAATGGAAAGTCGGGGGAAGCTGCATGTAGGGATGACCATTGTGTAAGTTAGCTCGGGTCTGGTAACATCCAACAGTTACGACTTTCAAAAGTACCAACTGTTGCAAATAACTTGTCCTGTATGGGACAGTAGCTGAGAGCTTCATCAATGACTTTAAGTTTGGGTGACTTTATTTTTTCATTTTCTCCCTTGTGCTATGAGAAGTATTAAAGAGTATGTGATAGGTAAGTGAGTCAAGTGGGCGGAGCACAACTAGTTGGCAAGTGTAAACTGCCAGTCATGTATCAGCAGTTTCATTTTTGGCACCTTATGCTTTGCTCCTTTAAGTTAGATTAAATAATTATTGAATTACTCTTGTCGAATTTCTTTCCGGATGCTAAATTGAGATCTTTAATACTCTTCTACAATATGTTTTTCTTTTCAATGTCCATTAATCAGCATCTCTTCACATATAGTAAGACATACACCGGGTTTTATATTTCTATGTTATCCAACGCAGTCTATTTTTGGTACTTTTAGGATCAGGTTCTTTGAAGATAGACTAGCACAAATCTCACAGTTCTTTGTGAGCGGCTATTTGACTTTTCCGATTGGGTGTGTGTGAAGAATTAACATGGATTTTTTTTCAGGACTTGTTCGGATGTCTCTTTGTTAGAGACATTAATCCTGTAAATGTGGAATAAAAACCCATGATAGGGTCTTTAATCATTGATTCTCAGTTAAAAGTTTCATACCAATGAACAAATGTGACCAGTTAGGACAGAGAAAAATGTATGTTCTGTGTACATATTGAAGTGTATGTCTATATTTAACTTCATTCAGTTTCTTTTGTTTCTACTGGGGTACATATTTGCTTATTAATCAGTGACATGGTGGTGGTTGTTAATTTTTAATAGTGTTCTTTTCCCTAAAATTCTTGGTTGTTGAATTATAAAGTCTTTTTTTGTCCTCATTTGCATTCAATATCTCTAGCATACATTGAAAAATTGTAACGCCTTAATGAAATAGAGACGTCATATTGAGTACTTTTGACTTTGAGTGAATGTGCAATAATAAAACATCATGCTTTCTTTCCTTCAGGCTGACTTGACGGGAATTAAATGGAAAAGATATGTATGGCAAGGCCCAACTTCTGCCCCTATTCTGTTTCCTGTGACAGAAGAAGACCCCATTTTGAGCAGTTTTAGTCGCTGCCTTAAGGCAGATGTACTTGGTGTTTGGCGGCGAGATCAAAGACCTGGAAGAAGAGAATTGTGGATATTTTGGTGGGGTGAAGACCCCAATTTTGCTGACCTTATTCACCATGACTTAGCAGGTGAAAGCAACTTACCATTCTAATGATATAGCAACATTGTATACTTCTCCCAAAATATCATTTGTATTACAAATTCAGTTTGTTTGTTTTTGTGGAACACTTAGGTAGGAGGCCAGATAAAAATTCAGCTTCATGTTTTATTTCACCATGATTATTTTATTTTACTTATATTATCCATGTTGTTATAGCTGGGTTTTTAATGCTTGAATGACTTTCTCCTTCCACCACCCCTCTTCCTTCTTAATTCATCACAGGTAGTTAGGGCCCAAGGGAGGCATGTTATATTAATCTGAAAAAGTGGAATCAGGAAATAAAGTCCTAACAAAGTCATGTAATAGTTTTAAAGCCAAATGTAACTTTTGAGTCATTTCAGCCACTGCTGAAGTTGAGTCTTTTGCATAAATAGGCAGACAATTCTAAAAGTACTGGAAATGTATGTCTCTCTTTCTCTCTCTCTTTCTGTGTGTGTGTGTGTGTGTGTGTGTATGTGTGTGTTTTAAGGCATAAGAGTATTTTGTTACTGTCATTTGTGTTTGATTAACATATGAAGGCATATGTTAATTTAGTTATTTTAGGAAAGTGACTCATACTGTTCTGTCAAACATAATAAGAGACAAGTGCCAACTTGTTTAGCTTTTATAGGACATGGGATCATAATCTAAAAGGTTACACAAACAATTTTATTGTGAGCAAATCAGTGTGATTACTTCCTTATTTTCTTGACTTTTAGGACCAAATGCTACTTTAGAAAGAGAAAGTGTAGCTTTTCATATAATTACTGAAGCTTTAAACTGTCAAAGTCAGTATTAACTGAATCTTAGATAATAGGAATGTAGATGATTAGTTCTATGTTATAGGATACCAAAGACTTCAGTAAGATAGTTTATGATTATTGACAGATAAATTTAGGATTTCTAGATAATTTTTTTAAAGTTCTTATTTGAAATTGAGTACTCTGAAGTTTCTCTTATTGTCCTTTTAGGATTTCTAGATAATTTTTTTAAGTTCTTATTTGAAGTTGAGTACTCTGAGGTTTCTAATATTGTTCGTTTGACCTCTGGCATCTATTTTATTTTTGGATAGAATGTATTCTAGCTGTCTGTATCTTGAACTGGTACTTAGTAAGATCAACATTTATGTAGGAATGTATGTGTTACATTTGTTTTGATAATTGCTTTTTACATTCTAATGAACACATTCTCCAGTGTTGTTATTTATTAGAGTGATTGCAATTCTTTAAGAAAGCTTTCCAGCTTATGTAGTTTTTCTACTAAGATGCCTGCCGCAGAGTCCTTAGTTCTGTGTGTTCAACGTAGTTCTAAATGTGTAAAATGATGTGTTTGTGTATATGTATATATGTACATACATATGATGTACATTTATATTGTGGTTTTAGCATAGACTATGCTTTCTAATCATCATGCCAAAAGCTAAGCCCGCCAGCTTCCTTTTTCTTTCATTGACTTGGATATAGTATTTGAGTTATTTTAATCATTAAGTGCTCATAAAAATCACCTTACTAGAATGTTTGGAAACTGTATAACATTGTTGAAAAACTGTAAACTATTGATAAACTATACTTGTTGATAAAACATAATTATTGAAAAATCTTTATTGCTGACTTAGGGGCTTTGGTCTTCTTAAAGTTGACAGCGCATCTAAGCAGACTAAACACATCTTTTTTTAAGATTCCATGAAATACACATTGTAGACTCAAAGATAATTTTTAGAGATATATAATGTTTGATTTTTTTTTCTTTTTTTAAGTAGAGATGGGGTCTTGCTATGTTGACCAGGCTGGTCTTGAACTCCTGGCCTCAAGTGGTCTTCCCATCTTGGCCTCCTAAAGTACTGGGATTACAAGTGTGAGCCACTGCACCTGGCCTGGTTTTACGATACTAGAATAATATTGCTAAAGTTAAAAGACTATTGAAGTTAGATGTGAGCACTTTGATGTAAATT